TTAGAGTATGCTCCTTTAGTTCAGTGAAGTTCATTATTACCCACCTTTTGAAGCCTACTTCTGCCAATTCAGCCATCTCAGCTTCAGCCCAGTTCTATGCCCTTGCTGAAGAAGTATTGCAGTTATTTGGAAGAGAAGAGGCACCCTGGTATTTTGAGTTTTCTGCAATTTTATGTTGATTCTTTCTCATCTTTGTGGGCTTATCTGCCTTCAATCTTTGAGGTTGCTGACCTGCGAATGGAGTTTTTGTGGGGTCTTTTTATTGATGATGTTACTGTTGTTGCTTTCTGTTTATTTGTTTTTCTTTTAACAGTCAGGCCCCCCTTCTGTAGTGCTGTTGTGGTTTGCTGGGGGTCCACTCCAGACCCCAAACCTGGGTCCCTCCTGCACCTGGATGTATTACCAGTGAAGGCTACAAAACAGCAAAGACGGGAGCCTGCTCCTTCCTCTGAGAGCTCTGTTCCAGAGGGGCACTAACCTGATGCCTATCTGGTGACCTGGAGACCCCTGTTGGGAGGTCGCACCCAGTCAGGAGGAACGGTATCAGGAACCTGCTTAAAGAAGCAGACTGCCTGCTCCTTGACAGAGCAGGTGCTCTGTCCTTTGGGGAACCACCCTCATCCAGACTGCCCAGACTCTCCAGAGCCAGCAGGCAGGAAAGGCTAAGTCAACTGAACCAGAGAGACCATGGCTGCCTGTCCTGCAAGGGGCTCCATCCCAAGAAGATCATAATTCTGTCCATAAAACCTTGGCTTAGAGTGAATTTCTTAACCTTGAGTTTAATTTGATTGTGCTGTGGTCTGAGAGACTGTTATGATTTCAGTTATTTTGTAGTTGCTGAAATTCCCACAGGTGGTCTAGAAGGTTCTTGTACTTGAATATAGATATCTTTCTCTATGTTTGGGAAGTTCTCTGTTATTATCCCTTTGAATAAAGTTTCTACCCCTATCTGTCTCTCTACTTCATCTTTAAGGCCTGTAACTCTTAGATTTGGCCTTTTGAGGCTATTTTTTAGATCCCGTAGGTGTGTGCCATTGTTTGTTTGTTTGTTTGTTTGTTTTGAGATGGAGTCTCACTTTGATGCCCAGGCTGGAGTGCAGTGGCACAATCTTGGCCCACTGCAACCTCTGCCTCCTGGGTTCAAGCAATTCTCCTGCCTCAGCCTCCCAAGTAGCTGGGATTACAGCCGCACACCACCATGCCCAGCTTTGTGTGTGTGTGTGTGTGTGTGTGTGTGTGTGTGTTTGTACTTTTAGTAGAGACGGGGTTTCGCCATGTTGCCCAGGCTTGTCTCAAACTCCTGACCTCAAATTATCTGCCTACCTCGGCCTCCCAAAGTGCTGGGATTATGGGTGTGAGCCACCATGCCTGACCCAGTTTTTTTTGTGTGTTTTTTTTTGTTGTTTTTTTTCTTTTTTCTTTTGTCTTCTCTGGCTATGTATTTTTAAATATCCTGTCTTCAAGCTTACTAATTCTTTCTTCTGCTTGATCAATGATGTTGTTAAGAGACTCTGATGCAATCTTTTAATGTGGCAATTGCATTTTTCAACTCCAGAATTTCTGCTGGATTTTTTAAAAAATTATTTCAATCTCTTTGTTGAATTTATCTAATAGGATTCTGAATTTGTTATCTGTATTATCACAGACTCAAAACTTCATTGTTTCCTCAAAACAGTAATTTTGAATTCTCTGTATGAAAGACCACATATCTCTATTTCTCTGTGATTGGTTTTTTGTGCCTTATTTAGTTCACTTGGTGAGGTCATGTTTTCCTGGATGGTCTTGATGCTCGTGAATGTTCATTGGTGTCTGAGAACTGAAGAGTTAAGTATTTATTATAATCTTTGCAGTCTGGGCTTGTTTGTACCTGTCCTTCTTGGGAAGGCTTTCCAAGTATTTGAAGGGACTTGCGTGTTGTGATCTAAGTTTTTGGTCACTTCACCTGTATCTCCATTAGGGGGCGCCCCAAGTCCAGTAACACTATGGCTCTTGCAGACTCAAAAATACTGCATTGGTGGTCTTGGGTAAGATCCAGAAGAATTATCTGGATTACTAGGCAGAGACTCTTGTTCTCTTCCCTTTCTTCCAAACAGATACAGTCTCTCTCTCTGTGCTGAGCTACCTGAAGCTGAGGGGTAAGGGGGTGACACAAGCACCCCTGTGGTCACCACCACTGGGACAATGCTGGTTCAGACCTGAAGCCAATATGATACTAAGTCTCAAATAAGGCTGCCAGTAAACCCTTATCTGGCTACTGCTACTCCATGTTCACTCAAGGACCAAAGGCTCTATAATCAGCAGGTGGCAAAGCCAGGCAGGATAGTATCCTTCTTTTCAGGGCAGTGAGCTCCCCCTGGCCCCTTGCAGGTCTAGAGATGCCATCCAGGAGCCTGGTCCTGGAGACCAAAACCTTAGGAATCTACCTGGTGCTCTATTCTACTATAGCTGAGCTGGCACCCAAGCCACAAGACGAAGTCTTTCCCATCCTTTCTACAAGGAAAGAAGTCCCTCCCCATGGCCACCACTGCTCCAGGCCCATGGCAAGTACTGCCTGACTATTGCCGATGTTCACTCAAGGCCCAAAGGCTCTTTAGTCAGCTTGTGGCAAATGCTGCCATGGCTGGGACTCTTCTTTCAAGGCAGTGGGCTCCCTTCTATCCCAGAGCAGGTCCACAAACATCCAAGAGCTAAGGCCTAGAATCAGGGACCCCAAGAGCCCACTTGGTACTCTACCCCACTGTTGCAGAGCTGGTACCTAATCTGCAAGTCCTTTTTACTGTTTCCTCTGCTTTTCTCAAGCAGAAACAGCTTCCCTATAGCCATCACAGCTGGGAATGTGCTGGGTCACACCTAAAGCCAGCACAACTCAGTCTCACCTAAGGCCCACAGCAAGTACTACCTGGCTACTGCTGCTGATTTTATTTTTTTATTATATTTAATTTTATTTATTTTTTGAGACAGAGTTTCATTCTGTTGCCCAGGCTGGAGTGCAGTGGTGTGATCTCAGCTCACTGCAACCTCCACCTCCCAGGCTCAAGTGATTCTCCTACCTCAGCCTCCTGAATAGCTGGGATTACAGGTGTGTGCCACCACGCCTGGCTAATTTTTATATTTTTAGTAGAGATGGGGTTTCACCATGTTGGCCAGGCTGGTCTTGAACTTCTGGTCTCAAGTGATCCACCCACCTTGGCCTCCCAAAGTGCTGGGATTGCAGGCATGAGCCACTGCACCCAGCCGTGCTGCTGATTATTCAGGACCCAAGGGATATTTAGTCAGCAGGTGATAAATGTTGCCAGGACTGGGTCCTTCCCTTCAAGGCAGCAGGTTCCTTTCTGGCCCTGGGTGTGTCTAGAAATGTTGTCTGGGAGCTAAGGCCTGGAAAAGGGGCCTTAGGACTCTGCCCGGTGCCCTGTCATACTATGGCTGAGCTGATATCAAAGTTGCAAGACAAAGTCTTCTTTAGTCTCCCCTCTCCTCTACTTAGGTAGAGTGAAGATTTCTCCGGGAGTTGTGAGCTGTGCTGTGTAGGGCTAGTGGAGGGATGTTGCAAGCACTCACTTAGCCACCCCAGCTAGTTTCTCATTGGGTCACATGCTCCCCAAGTCTACTGGCTCTGAGCTCAGCACAGCATCAGGACTTGTCCAGGAATTGCAGTCCTTGTGGCTTTAAACTGTCTTTTGAGTTTATTTAGTACCCAAGAACACTTTAGCGTGCAGCAGTGAGGCGTGCTGGAACTCAAGTTCTGACCACTGGAATGGGTGATTCCCCTGTGCCTAGGGCTGATCTAAATGTTCCCTCCGTGGATATCAGCTGACTTCTGCCCAGTGTTGCTTTCCGCTATGACAGGGTAGCACTGAGTTTCAACGCAGTCTCTCCATCACTGTGTTCTCCCTCCCACAAGTGCACAGTTTTTCTCTCTATGCCATGTGGCTGCTGCAGAAGGGATGGGGGAGGGGCTGGCATCATCAATTCAAGACCTTCTTTCCTACCCTCTTCAGTGCCTCTTTCAATGATATGAAGTTAAAACCAGGTACTGTGATTGCTCACCTGATTTTTGGTTCTTATAAAGGTGCTTTTCTATATGGATAGTTGTTAAATTTGGTGTTCCTGCAAGGAGGACAGTTAGTGGAGGCTTCTATTCAGCCATCTTGCTCTGCCTCCCTCCTGCTACCATTTTCTAGCTATAGGCAGGAGGTGGGGAGGGTCCCCAGAGAGTCTGGGGCATGCATTTTTAGAGGGTAACTTAAAAGAAGGGAAAAGAGAATGGATGCTGGGAAACAATTAGCAGTCTCTGGCACAGACATAATGCATAAAAGGCTATTCTTACAAATCTGTGTATATATACATATATGCACATAGAAACACATACATACTACATTCACATTATTTTTTTCGTTTCATTATGGACCTTAAAAGTTTTCAACCGACCTACCCTGGTCCACAGCCAGTTTTACAGTCCCAGTGGCCACTTTCCAAATAAGCTATGGATTCATCTATAAATTTTCTTACTACTCCGGCCATCGTAAGTTTCCAGATGCAAGTGGAAATAGCAGAGGTTCAAGCCTTAGGCTTCCACTAACTCTATTACACCTTGCCTTTTCTCATTCTCTCAGCGCTCTCCTAATAACTGGACTACCAAGGATCAAAAGTAATACAACAATATGGAGAAACACAAGGATACCCAGGTCTATGCAGACCCTCGCCCATTACCTCCCTTCCTAGGAATTATATGCTTCCTGAGTGACACTTATATGTCTCCTTGTTTAATTGAAAAAAGTATAAGAAAAAATGGTTTTAATACTCTGCAATTTAATGTCATGGCAGGCAACCCAAATAAGACTAGAAGAAGGGAGGGAGTTGTCAATAAAGTACAATTTAAAAACAGTTGAACCTCTTTTCCTCTAAAGACTACCACAGTGCTACATTATGCTTAATGCCTCTTTAAATGGCCTAGTTAAGTGCTTATCATTAGTCATGTGTTACTATGCATTCACTAACAGAACTGGGACCCTGGAACTTGGGGATAAATTGCTCGCAATAGATAATATCCGGCTGGACAACTGTTCCATGGAAGATGCAGTTCAGATCCTCCAGCAATGTGAAGACCTGGTGAAGCTCAAAATCCGCAAAGATGAAGATAATTCAGGTATTGAGAGCATCCTTAGTTAAAACTGATTTTTCGAAATGCCCATCTGTCACCAAAGATATTAGATCTTGATGTTTTACATACAACAGCTGGCTAGTGACGTGGCAGCAGTGTTTCACAGCTAGAAGAGTCTTTAAATTTTGTGTTGAGAGTGTAGCACGAATTTTAAATAATGATGCTTGTAAATGATATCATTAAGATAATTTCATTATAGAAAACATTATAATTGCATGAAATAATTTTTAAAGATGCTATCTAAATCATCGTCTAATCCCACACTAATACAGTGAAACTGGTGGTTTTCTAGTTTTTGTTGATATTCCTATGGCATAACTATAAACAAGTGGATGTTGCATTTTTTACCTAATTTTACATTATAAACATTTGATCATTTTATAAACTCTGAATATCTATCATTTTTATTGACTGCCTGTGATTTACCTTTCTTCTCTTCTTAAATCACTATATTGCTTCCAACCGTTTCATTATTGTAAATAGTACTCTTATAGACATCTTTATACATAGATATCTTTATTCAGCTTTTCAACTTTTTTTTTCTTTTGAATTATTTCCTGAGAAAATATTCCTAGAAGCAGGATGGCTGAGTAAGAATACAAAGGAAATGTCTATGATTCCTGATGAGTCAGTCATGCCTCACGTTGCTTTTCAAAAGGGCTATATACATTTTTTAGGCCCTCCAATGAAACTTAGGAGGGCATAGAATCATCTGAAGCGTTTGTTAAAACACAGATCCTGGGCACCACCCCAGGTGGGACCTGAGATTCTGGATTCCTAATAAACATCCAGATGCTGCCACAGCTGTGGTGCAAGGAGCACACTTCAGGTTGCCCTGAAATACGAGACATCCTATCTGATTATGATAAGAATATAGAGCCAATTGAAAAGTGTCCATTCATCAAAAGAGTCAGATAATGTGGGGAATTACAGAATGTGATATGGATCCATTAAGTAAACATTTCATTTACAATTTTGCCAATCTTGTGGGTAAAGTCAAGGCCTTTCCTATGAACATCGTTCTGCTGATTATAGTTACAAGTCTTTTTGTTTGTTTGCCTAAACCATATCCACAATATATATTTTATGACTTCCAGTTTTATTTTGGTTTGGTTTGGTTTTTAATGCAGTGAGACTTCAAAGAATTTATAGCAATCTGAATGCCTCCTCCACCTAGATTTTGGTCTTCCCCAGTGTTTTAGAGTTTTTCTGCTAGGTAATTAACAGTAGATTTTATGTTTGTTTGTTTGTCTGTTTTGTGTTTGTTTTGTGTGGCACACCCAGGCTGGAGTGTGCCATGGAGTGCAGTGGCGCCAACTCTGCTCACTGCAACCTCCACCTCCCAGGTTCAAGCAATTCTTGTGCCTCAGCCTCCTGAGTAGCTGGAATTACTGGCATGCATCACCTTTCCTGGCTAATTGTTATATTTTTAGTGGAGATGGAGTTTTGCCATGTTGACCAGGCTGGTCTCAAACTCCTGACCTCAATTGATCTGCCCACCTCGGCCTCCCAAAGTGCTGGGATTTCACGTGTGAGCCACTGCGCCTGGCCATAGATTTTTGCCTAACAAACCCTTATTGAATCTTTCCCAACCGTTGGATTTTATTTTCATAGAACAAGTACATTCATATTTCATAGGTTATATAAGATTAATTAAATTACATAGTTAAAATAACAAGTACAGCTGGCATAAACAGGTTTAGGAATAAACATAATTGCCTCTAAATTTCAAAGTTTACAACTCAAGCAGGAGCAGGAGCAGAAGTGCAGAGGGGCTAGATAAAGAAACGTATTGCTCTGGAGCATGCCATGGCATTGGTCTGTACATTTTATGATGGAGGATGAACAGCCACAATTAATTCAGTAAATTGGTTAAGTGGAGATTGGTTGAGAGAGCATCTACTGTATATAATTTCATTGCAACCAGTAATGAAGTTGTGGCAATGTTCTGGGATTTCCTTAATCAGGTCATCTAGATCTAGAGTTCATGGTTATGTCAGGCTATGTGTTTATGATTCCTATTCAAAGTAAAAAAAAAAAAAAAGTTGCATCCATCAGTACAATTGATGATGATGATATCCAAATATATTTTATAACCAATGTTTAAAAATATGCACAGGTTTGCACTCATTATTTCCTAAGCAACTGATTTTCTGTGCCAACATTTGCATTTCTCTCCTTACAAGCCTGCTTCAGTTGCACTTTCTTTTGGGGATTTATTTCAAAACAGGGAGTAAGCCTTTAGCATCAGCCTGGGTTCTGTCCTAGTCAAGAGGCAAAGCCCTGTGGAGAAACCTGTTTTGCATGATTTGCCCTGCTCAGCAGATGTCAGCTACCTTCCTTGCAAAATGAAAAAGCCAAGCCAGAGATGAATGTGTGTAGTGGGCACAGTTGGCAATGCATCCAATTTCAAAGTCAGGCTGTGTCTGCCGGTTGGCAGGAATTTCCCAAACAACTGAGCACTTGGAGAGCTAGACCTTACTTTCAGTTACTGATTTCCTTTGCCTCATTTTCCCCCTTTATACGCTTCCCCTACAATCCCTATGTAAACTATTATGATACTTATTGTGCTTATTAAATATTTTTTAATTTTAAGAGGTTCTGGTTTTAAAATCCTAAACCTTCCATAGAAAAACATACAACCACCCAAAATAAGACTATAGATATTGGCATGAGAGACATACTTACCCAAACCAGATTTTCTCATACTGATATACAGAAATATATACTCATTCAGACATGGTTTTACAAAAGATCACTATTTGCAAATTATTCAGCTATTGATTTTGAAGAATTTATGTGATCCTAGTATTCTCTTCCCTTACAACATTATAATTTGAGTACCTGAATTCATTTTTATTCAGAGCAAAGTAAGGGAGGAAAAAAAACGTTATTCAAAATGTAAAGCCAGACCACAGATTATTTAAAGGCAAACTAAATCTTCACAAAGAGCAAATGTTTTAAAATCAGACATGATATGATGAAGAATGGAAACTCAGAAGAAGAGACGGTAGGAGGGGAATGAGGGACCAAAAAAAACTACTTATTGAGTACAGTGTGCAGCACTTGGGTGATGGGTGCACCACAATCTCAGGCTTCACCACTATACAATTCATCCAGGTAATGAAAAACCACTTGTACCCTTAAAGCTATTGAAATAAATTCTTTTAAAAATATCAGACCTCAGTTTAAAGTTCAGCTCTACCACATTTGAGCTGTGAGAGTTTGGGCAACTTGCTAAACTTGTCTGAGATTTGGTCCCATTTTCAGTACCATCTACATAATGATACCCATCTCAGGGAGCTGTTGTAACTTACTGAAAGAAATACTGGCACAGTCCATACTTCACTCAGTAAGTGGGGACTATTTGTATTCTAATTACCTCCTGAAATCCCTTTCTCTGCATTCGTTCTGATCCTTTATCAAGATATGACTGAGTGGAAAATAAGCATTGATCCTTCGGACAGTCACTGATTTTGAAAGTTTGATATTATGCTTAATCTGAAATTATGCTGGTGATCAGAACGATCCCATTAAATAGTTGCCATGCTTTGTCTCAATATTTTTGAATGGTAATATTCAGTGTATATTCTCCACCCCCAGAAATGTTGCTCATACTAATGTAGGCCCTCTGCACTTCAGGAGTTTTCCAGTCCTTTAACGGCTGGCTGCTCTCCTTCCTTCAGTGATGATTCTCTCTCCGGTCACAGGAAGTTTATAACTATACTTGATGTAACTTAGTTTCCTAAGCTAGCTTGTACTGCAAATGGGATTTAACAGATACTGCTTCAAAATGTAAGCATTTCTTCCAGCTTCGCACGTCTCACTACCCTGCTGTGTACCTTACCCAAGGAGATGGTAGAACTATTCCCAAATGCTGCTGAAGCCCTCGATTTTCAGTCATGCTATCAGCATTCATTTATTGTCTATGAAGTATCAGGCAATGACTACCGGTTCTTAGATAAAAAGGACACAATCCTGCCCTTAAATCAGTTACCACCAAATAGGAGAAACAAAAGAAAATCAATAATTAACAATATAGTGAATGTCGTAAGGATATGCACAAAATATTCCACAATGGTAAGAGAATGTGAAGGCATCCATTTGAGCCTGAGGACCTCAAGGAAAAGATTCTAACAACCTGGGTCCCGAAGAGGTTTGTGAAGTGGTGCAGAAAGTTAGGGACAGCATGGCACACTCCAGTAGGCAGATATGGCTCAAGCAGAACGTATGTGCAAGGACTTTGTAGTAGGTAAGCTAGAAAGGTATACTGGAGCCAAGTCATTATGGGCCTTGTAAATCATGTTAGTAAATTTGAATTTTATCCCAGAAACCAGTGGGGAGCCATTAAAGGAATTAAAACGGGAATGAGGCCCACTGGACTTGGTTAGTGACCATTGGTTTTAATCACTTTACGAAAGCGCTGAATGAGCCATTCAAGAGAGTCTGAATTAACTCTGCCTCTAGCCCAAGCTGGGGGAAACAGTGGAATGAAAGACGAAGAACGCCAGACTGGCTTCATAACTGACAAGTGGGAAACTTAGGCAAATTAACTTCTCTGAGCATGAGTTTCCTCATCTGTAAATGTCCATTTAATTCTTACTTTAATTGGCTGTTTTAAGGATTAAAGGAGGAGATATATACATATATATACACACACACACACATATATATATTTAAATTAAAGGAGGAGATATATATATGTGTGTGTGTGTGTGTGTATATATGTTTTTGTTTTGTTTTGTTTTGTTTTGTTTTTGAGATGGAGTTTTGCTCTCGTCACCCAGGCTGGAGTGCAATGGCAGGATCTCGGCTCACTGCAACCTCCACCTTCCAGGTTCAACCGATTCTCCTGCCTCAGCCTCCCAAGTAGCTGGGATTACAGGTGCCTGCCACAACCATGCCCAGCTAATTTTTTGTATTTTTAGTAGAGATGGAGTTTTGCCATGTTGGGCAGGCTAGTCTCGAACTCCTGACCTTAGGTG